ACAAAAAGTATTCAGATTTGGCCTTTTTAATAAGAGAAGTACATTTATTTCTAAGCTGTTTGAAAACAGACCAATCAGTGGAAGTATCTGTTTGTCTCGCCTTGTCCCATGCTCTATTACGCTTGTGTATGCTATCTGCGAGTGTCTGCGAAAACCAAGGATTTTCTCGACCTTTAATTCTAACGACCTTTAATCTTGAAACTACATCATTTTCACTTGTTCCACTGGCAGATTTTTTTCACTTAATACAATTTTTTTTTGCTTGGAATAAGTGAAAAAGTCTGCCAATCAGCTACTCAGTGGCTGATTGTGTCTTATTTTAAGTGTGATGAGATTATTTTGATTAGAAATAAGACAAATGTCCTTGGTAAGACTGAGTTTGTTCAGTGTGTTCTTTGGACTCATCCGCTCCAGCGTCCTGCAGGTTGTTTTAGACCTGATTCCTACAGCGACACAGAGCTCAAACACACTGCAGCTGAAGAAAATAGCAGCAAACAGAAAAATGCTGCAGAAGCTTACAGAGACCAACACAGGGATTTCATTAAGGTGACGGACCAGCTGCAGCAGTGACAGGAAGTAAAACATGTGAAGGACTGAGTCATGTTTAAAAGAAGCGGAGGATTCATCAGGTAACGTGTGTTTGAATCACATGACACATAAAATCCAGCAGGTATGTCTTTACGATTAGCTGTTTACTGTTAGTGTGTTACATGTGCAGCTGGTCCGTCACCTTAATGTCTCCCCAGAAACACTGGTGTTGGTCTCTGCTGGAGAGCAGAAAGTGTTTCTGTGGTTATGAGGGCACGTTTCATGAAGCTCCTGCCTCAGAGACCTGCTGCACGGTTCAGCTTCAGAGGCCAGCAATGCATCATCATACAGTGGCCGCCTCACCTCCTTCGCCTTCGGATGCGGGGTGGCGACCAGTCGTGGTTCTGGTGCTTTCTTCACCACATCAACGAAGGACGCTCCGGATTCTGCCACCAGGCCTGAAACCAGACATCGACCAATCAGAGGCTTCTTACAGCCATATTTCACAAACACCTGAAGCAGAATTCACTGATCTGCCTTTTTCCTGTTCTGATGTCAGATGGTCTCACTGCAGGCTGTGAATCAGTCATGTCACCATGTTTTTCTGTTTGTAGACATAGTTTCTCCCTTTTTCATGGACCTGAGTGTAATGTTTCATCAGAGCGGTCTGACAAAGTAAAGAAATTGCCTGAGTTTAAGAACTTGGCCCAAATATTTTTATTCATGTGAAAGGAAATCAAAAAAATATAGAACCGTGTTTTTCCATTTCCACAGACCAATGAGCAAGGTGTCACAGCCATCTCCATCAGGGCTGCCACCAGAGTACTGCAGGTCATCGGGCTGAGACCAAGTATACAGTCTGCATATATGCAGCTGAGCTGAGACTCAACAGACATCTCATGATACCATAGTATTGTGAATTAACATTTTCTGATTCGCTTTGTCAACATCTGCTTTATCCAGTCACATAAAGTTATCTCACGTCAGTTATTAACAGACTGCAAGTAACTGCCAACTAGATCACATTCAGCCTGCTAACAGCTGCTAACAGCTGCTAACAGTCTGCTTCCTCTCCTTTGTTCCTTTCCTTTTATGTCCTCTCCTTCTCTTCTCTCTTCAAACTGAAACTCTCTCAGAGCTCAGAGACGAGGCAGTCTAGTGCGGGTTTTTCAAAATAAAAGCTGTGAGCACACTGACCGTGCAGAGCTCTGTAGGCTGAACCCAAACAAGTGGAGTCGGACAGGTCGATGGTGTAGACCGGAGCGTTGAACACGTCAGACAGCACCTATGGAGGAGACCACAGGAAGTGACTCTTCTCCCTCTGAAACTCACAAAAATGCTGCTGCTTTGATGACATCATTATGGCTATGTCCATCTTTTACATACAGTCTATGCATGTGGGTGCTAATAAAGCC